ATCTGGCAGTGTGGTGGTACCATGGTGGATGCCCCTTGCTCTCGCATTGGTCATATATACAGGAAGTTTGCCCCATTCCCCAATCCTGGGATGGGTGACTTTGTTGGTCGGGTAAGTCCTTGTGCCAGTGTCTGTCTTTTTGTGTCTTTAATTCTGTACTCTTAGGCCTTTTTTTTTTTTCTTCCTTCCTTCCTTCCTTCCTTCCTTCCTTCCTTCCTTCCTTCCTTCCTTCCTTCCTCCTTCCCTTCCCTTCCCTCCCTCCCTGCCCTCCCTCCCTCAAGGTTCTCTCTCTCTCTCTCTCTCTCTCTCTCTCTCTCTCTCTCTCTCTCTCTCTCTCTCTCTCTCTCTCTCTCTCTCTCTCTCTCTCTCACTCTCTCACTAATGATGTGTGGAAATTATGCCACCTGAACGATACTGCTGAGTTGGTTTTTTGGGAGTTGAGTTAGAATTGTTGCAGATTCAGTTGTTTATTAGCATGGGAAAATGGTAGCTGGAGTACAGAGCATAGACAAGGCAGAGGCGCCCAGGGAGGAGTGGGGCATCTTGCTATTGTCTTGAGGGCTAGCGGTCTATGTCGATTACTCAGAAGAAATTGTTATGAACAAATTTTGTTTTGAAACATTTCATAATGGAAAACATTAAATAATTTGAATGAACACATTGAGATACAAATGATCACATGATGGTTCCGTGGTGAAGGAACAAGGGTACCTTATATACTGTTGTATGTGAGAAGAGAGTTATGGTGTTTACAAGGCTAAAAAGCTTTGTGATAAGGAGACAGAAATCCTGGGTATTCATATAATATAAAGATATCTGAATAACAATAATAATAGCGATTACATACTTAGTGCATGGGAATTGTTTTCGAGCAATAAGGGTTAGTTTAGCATGTTCTAAATTCTCTTTGTTATTGTCATGGCTGTAGACCTGTTGGAGTCATCTCAGACTAGTGGAGTTTCTGTAAGATAAGAAACATATGACTTTTCTGGTATGTGAAGTGAGAGAATTCACGAGAATAGATCACTATATCGCTTGGCCATCTAACCAGGATCGTCCTCGATCCAGCTTCGGTGGGTGATGCTAAAGATGAAGTCTTGACAGCAATGATGCAGGGAGTCTTGGTCCTTGCAGGAGAGAAGGAAAGAAGGTCAAACAGGTGACTTCTAAGGTCGGCGGTCTAGGGAGCTTGCTCACACAGGTCACTGTTCCAAAGTGCAGGTGGTCTTGACAGGAGCAGCAGTGATGATCAGTCACAGAGCTCGACAATCATTCCACAGGATCGCTTGAAGACACAGTTAACTTGTCAAGCACTGTGTCAATTGTAAATGACACGCATACCGGTCTAGAAGATTCTGTACCAAGTTGTTGGTGATGAGATGAGGACAGAGCAAAGAATCTTGAGAATGAAGTCTTGAAAGGATTAGGATCACGTCGTCAGCATCATCAACTTGGGAGAGGAAGAGGACCTTGGTGATGGCATCATGAGGTTCGATAGGCAGGGCAGAACCATTCTTGCCAGGGTCACCAGCACAGGGCAGCAGGTGTGGTGAGTGAGGTGAGATGCAGCGAGGACATCTGGCGAGTGAGATGAGATGTGCCTTGGATGTCAGGCGAGTGAGACGAGACAAGATGTGGCTAGGATGTCAGGTGGCGCTCACCAGCGGATGAAGTGGTGGGGATGTTAGAAGAATGACATGACTGGAGTTGCAGCGATGTACAGTAGAGGACAGAAGTGCGTCAGCGAGAACATCCACGAGAAGGGTTCGTTAACAGGGCTAGCAAGACTTTGGTGTGCCAGTGATCAGTGGCAAGGGCAGCAGTGTAGTGATCCAAGAGTCAAGGTCAGCAGTGGGCTTCAGCACAGGGCCTCTGGCTCTTAGGACAACAAATAAGAACAACAGTACCATATCTTGGCAACAGAAAACATAATGCCATATCTCAGGGAGTTACAATATCAACATGAATTCATAATGATTAGGTAATAACTGGAAGCAACATGTCAAGGATTTGGAATAGTGTTAATTGCAACACTCACCTGAGAGACTGAAGATAATAATGAATAATCTAGGTTGTAGGATAAAATCTTGAAGAAATTACGAGTTTGCAGAGCCATGCAAGATGCAGGAATGATTCTCCACAAAAGTTCTCCCTCCCTCTCCCTCTCTCCCTCCCTCTCTCCCTCTCCCTCCCTCTCTCTCTCTCCCACTCTCCCTCCCTCTCTCTCTCTCCCACTCTCCCTCTCCCTTCCCTCTCCCTCTCCCTCTCCCTCCCTCCCCCTCCCTCTCCCTCCCTCTCCCTCCCTCCCTCCCTCCCTCTCTCTCTCTCTCTCTCTCTCTCTCTCTCTCTCTCCCTATCTCTCTCTCCCTATCTCTCTCTCCCTATCTCTCTCTCCCTGTCTCTCTCTCCCTGTCTCTTTCTCCCTCTCCCTCTCCCTCTCCCTCTCCCTCCCTCTACTGTATAAGTTAGAATCAATGCTGTCTCACTATGTCTGTTGTCT